TTCCTGGTTATCACAGATGTGGGGAAAATGGACTTGTCTCTCAAACACCGGCACACAGCTCCCTGGGTACTAATAGCTAACAAATGTTGCAGCTATCGTCCTGATTTTTCTAGTTCTGATACTACTGCATTTTTTAATTACTATTTTTGTGCTTATTATTTAACCACAATAATTCTTCATTCCCTTTCCTCCTCAAAACTCTCCCATGTTACCCCCTTCCAACTTCCTTCTATCCATGGCTGACTTTTTAAAAAAGATTAATTGTTATTGCATGGGTACAAGTATATGTAAATACATATATGTTCCTAAATACAGCCTATGCAGTACATGTAACTGTATGCGTATAATGTTTTCAATGGTGACCATTTGGTGCTGGACTGCCAATTGGTGTGTTCTTCCCTGGGTAAGCCCACCCCTCTCATTCCCAGCTTTCCTCAGTTGTCTGCACTTCTCTGTTCAGGGTTCAGGTCTCATGGGATGCTCTGGTCCCTCTGGAATAGTTCAATTGTACCATCCTGTTCAGCTCACATTTCGATGGCCATGTACACTAGAGTTTATTTATTTGTTTTGCTATATATAAACTTTTTTCTTATTTTACATATAAATACAAGTTCCCTCTCCCTTCCTGCCTCCCTGCCTCTCATCCCCCCCCCCACTACCTTTCCCAAAACCCATTCCCACCCACCCCTGTATTTCACAGGGAGGGTGATGCCTTCCATGAGGGCCTCAACAAAATCTGTCAAGACATTTGGAGTAGGGACTAGGCCGGTCCCTCTTGTCTCTAGGTTAAGGGAGTATCCCTCCATGGGGAATGTGCTCCAAAAGTCCTTTTGTGCACCTTGAGTACATCCTGGTTCCACTGCCCAGGCCTTCTGAGACCCATGTTCAGGGTTATCCAAATTCTGGTTTCCCAGCTATCAGCCTGGGGTCCCAGTAGCTCCTCCTTGTTCAGGTTGATGAGAGTTTATGTGTATAACTTCTGATATCAGCAAGAGACACAATCTTCCAGAAGATTCCTCAATCCTTGGCTTTTACAGTCATTCTGCCTTCTCTGCAGTGTTCCCAGAGGCTAAAGTGCATGACTGTTTTGTAGATGTATTCCTTGAGACTGGGATCCCTAACTGCAGTTTGGTTGGTGGTACTATAATTTAGTGTTCTCTATGTGTTGAAAGAGAAGTTTTCTTGATGAAGGGTGAAGACTACAGTTATCTGTGGGTATAAGTACAATTATTTATAGATTGTTGTTAGGGATTATGCTGTTTTCATAAAATAGAGGTTGAAGACTGCCATTAATAACCATGACTTCATTCACACTTTATAAATTAGCTAGGTTTCCAACACCAGACATGGGATCATTATTGTGGGGGGTGTATCTTCAGTCCAGTGAGACAGCTGCTGGGTAACCATTAAGATATGTGTGTGTGCGTGTGACATTACTGCACCTATGGATTACTGTGCCATGATGATTGTTTATATGAGGACATGCTGGATTTTGTCAAAGACCTTATCTGTATCTATGAGATGATCATGTGAGTTTGTCTTTAAGTCCATTTGTGTATTTTATTACATTGACTAATTTGTGTGTTTTCGAACCATTACAGCTTTTCAGAGATAAAGTCAATATAGAGGTGGTATATACTCCATTCTTTTTGAATGTATGCCTGTATTCTGTTGTCAAGTAGTATTTCATTGTATATTTTGAGTCTCTGTTCATCAGTGATATTGTCTCGTACTTTGATATTTTTGTTGTATCTTTGCTTGGCTTGGGTATTAGAACAATAGTGGTTTCAAAGAAAGAGTTTTGGGTGCTCCTACTCATTCTCTTCACTTTCTTCAATGATTAAGAAAGACTAGCTGTAGATCTTCTTAACTGTCTGGTAGAATTCTGCTTTCAATACATCTGGTTCTGGATTTAATTTTTAATCTTAGAGGTATTTCATTACTATTTCAAATTCCTTGTTTTCTTTGTTGCTTAGATTGTTGACTTCTTGGTTATTTTTGACAGTTTGGCTTAGTCTAGAAATTTATGTCTTTTTTCTATGTTTTTCAACTTAATAGAGTACAAATTTTAAAAATAATCCATTATAATAGTTTGATGTCCGTTGTAATGTTTTCCTGTTCACTTTTGATGCTAATCTCTTATCTTGATGCTTATCTCTTTCTATCTGTGGTTGACTTGTGCTAAAGATCTGTCAATATGTTAATCTTCAGAAAAACACAGCTTATAGATTCACTAACTATTTGATTGTTTGCTTTGTTTCTGTTTCACTGATTTCTGCCTGGATTTTATTATTTTTTTTGCCATCAACTGCTTGTGGACTTTGCTTGTTCTTCACAAACTTTTGAGTTGCATCAGTAAGCCATTTATATGTGTTTTTTTTTTCCCTTTAATGAAGGTATGTAGAGGTGTAAATTTTTTTTCTTTTCTCTGCTTGCTAGTGTGTCACAAAACACTTTCTTGTATTTTTTTTCATTTAGTTCAGGGATTTTTTTTTATTTGTTTCTTAATTCTTTTTTGATGCCTTCATCATTTAGTAATGAATTGTTTCATACCCATGAGTTTGTATGTTTACTGGAAGGTTTAATTGGGGGGGGTGTTGGATTGAAACTGAACAGTATTTTACTTATTTACTTTTTTAATTATCTATGTTTTTACTAACATATAGAAACAAATGTTATAGGATACATGTATATATTGTGTCATTCACATTAAATATAAATGTATCTCTTCAATCATTTGTCATCTCTTTATGGTAAAAACATTTCAAATCCTTTCTTCTGTACTTTTGGAATATATAGCACATTGTTGACATCTTTAGTCATCTTACAGTCTTAGTCCCCACACCCATTCATCTGTCTTCCTCATCATCTCTTTCTCCTTCTGCTCTCCCAGGACTCTGGCAACTACTATGCTATTTTCAGTTTCAGTGAGATCAACTTTCTATTCTACATATAAAAGAAATCATGCAGTATTGACTTTCTGTGATGGCCTATTTCATTTAACATAATATCTGTGGTCTGTGCTGCTGCCGAAAACCATGTAGAAGTCTGTGGTCTGTGCTGCCACTGGTTGTTATGGGCAAGGAAGCTTCTTTTGCAGTGGTATCTATGACTGCTGACTCATAATTGAGAATGAGAGACTTTGAAGGCTTCTGTGAAAACTTCTCCCTACCCCCACCTTGCAAAAAGAAAGAAAAGTTTACAAAGGAAGCCAATAAAGAGAGTGCTTTAAAAATGTGATAGAGATGATGAAGTGTAGACTTCACAATTGACTCCTTCTGGAGTGGTGAGGGGAGCAGAACTCAGTTATCTTTAAAGGGATGGCCACTGGGAGTTTGACCATGCTCCAATGAGCATTTGGGCAACATACAACAATACGAGGTGTATTCTTCTTTTTCTTTCTTTCTTCCCCCCCTCTTCCTTCCTTCCTTCCTTTCTTTCTTTCTTTTTTTTTGTGGGGGAAGGCATAAGGGTGGGAGAGCAGAACTTACAGGAATGGAAACCGAGAGTGATAGGTTACATGTATGGGGACAAAAGAAGTAAAAGAAGTATGCACACTAGAACCCTATTCAGAAATAGTAAAGAATGAAATTCTATTATTCAGTTGTTTATATATATATATATATATATATATATATATATATATATATATAGTGTGTGTGTGTGTGTGTGATTATACTATGATCTAATAGGATGCAAGGAGAGAGTCTAGTATTTTTTTAATTTGTAAAGACTTTTTATGTCCCATGATGTGGTCCAGTTTATAACATTCATGTGCTGGTGAGTACTTGTGCATTCTTTGACATTTGGATAGAGTAGTGCTTAGTATCCATTATATTCACTGATGTAGGATTTCAGTTAATTCTGGTATTTCTCTTTTGATATTGTGTCCAGGTGAACTAGGTGAACTGATTACCCAAGAAAGTGGGTAATCACCAACTTTTAATAAATTGATATTAACTTCTGTCTTAATATGTGACCTATGTTTTTTTCTTATGTAGTTTTCATTATACATTCTTTTCCATGTATACTTATGGTTTTAACTATTACATGCTTTTGGGCATTTCTCTTTTGGCCTTGTCTGTTTTGTGTTCTGAATGTTCCCATATTAATCTTTTGATGTTTTATTTCTTATTTCTGTGAAGGATGTTGTAGCTTTTGATTGGGATTGAACTGAATCTTTAGATCACAATTAGATCAATCATTTTCACAACATTAATTTTAATAATTCATGAGCCAGAGAGGATTTTCTTTTCTAGTGTCTTCCTCAATTGTTTCTTCAGAGTTTTGAAGTTTATCTTGTACAAGTATTTAATTTCCTTGGTTAGGTTTATTGCTAGATATTTTAGTATTTGAAGCTATAATAAACTGTCATGTGTGGATGGTCTCTTTCTCAGTGTGATTGTTGGTGCTATATAGAGAGGCTCCTGATGGTTGTAAGTAGATTTGTTATCTTACCATATGGATGAACTCATTGATCATTTGAAGAAAATTTCTAGTAGAATTTTTATGAACTCTTATATGTAATATAACATCCCATGTTAATTTTATTTATTAATTTGTTCCTATTTCTATCCCATTGGTACCCACATCCTATCTTGTTGTTCATGATGTCCCACTCTCTATACAAAGAACTACAGACAATTAAGGAAGACAAGGGCAATAATTCATCCATGAGGATATTTCCCTTATTGGCTATCAAATACAAAGTGGTCATACCAAATATAAAAATACAGGCAACACTAATCACACAGTTGATTGTATTTATATAAACATGCAATTATAATTAAAGGGAAAGAGACTATGAATTTGAGAGGGAATGAGGAAAGGGATATAGAAGGGACTGGAGAGAGGAAAGGGAAAGGGAAAAATAAAATTGTATTTTAATTTTTAAATACATTTTTTAAAAAGAAAGAAAGAAACTGTCACAAATTGCTTCAAGTGACTGGAAGCATTTTTAATGTCTACAGTATAGTTGGTTTTGACAACTAACAACTGACAAATGCTGCACTGGAAAGCCCGTGACACAGGATGTGGACTGGGCTCCAGGCCCTGTGTCAGGTTTGAGAACAGGCTGCAGGTGCCTGGGGAGCAGTATGCACTTGTAGCACAGAAGTACATAGCAGAGTCCTCAGGCTGGGTGTCTGTGATGTGCAGGGAGAAGTGTTTGGTTTTCTTATCCTGTAAAACTATCAGTCTTTGGTCCTGATATCTTTCCATAGTTGATCGAATGTCAATAATGAGCTTAGGATGCTCTCCTGGTCCTTGCTTATACCAAGGGAAGTAGTAGGAGGCACTGTCTGTGTAAGTGCAGTTGATGACAGCACTGGCTCCCTCCTGGACTCTGGGGGTGGAAGGAAGCTGCTCCACCTGCTCTCCTTGGCTCACCCCTATGAAGAGATGGAAATAAAGGAGAAAGATTGTCAGGTCATCACTGTCCAGGATTCTCTTTGTATACATTCACTAGAGAAACCCTGAATAAAATAGAGTTTCCCCCTGGATGTCTCAGAAAAACCCACAGAGTATTCTAAGTTCTAAACATCATAACTCACCATCCATCTTCAGCCACAGAATCATGAATAAATTGGAAACATGTGTCTTCATCGTTTTTCCTATTAAATTAAGATCCAGTGTAGTTTGTGATGACTAGCAGGTCAGCTACAGCTTCCTGAGTGTTGTTCTTTTTCAGTAACAATTCTATCTCTTAATCATCCATTGAGCCACTGAGAAAGTGTCTCTTGTTCTGCCCTAAGCCTGTACAACCAGCATACAAGGAAGAGAGATTCTCTCTTCATACTCCCCAGCAGCTAAGGTCTACTACCACCTGGTTGTGGTTGTCCTTCTTTGGGCCTCTGTTCTCTGTCCTATGAGGGACTCAGACACATAAAACAGCATAACAACAGGGTCCTAGTGCCGAGAGATCAAGAATGGTATTTATACACATTAGTGATTCTGTTTTCTACCTTTAAGTCTGCCATAGATGATGTATAGTACTTCATATGTAAATGTTTATGCAGGATTTTTAACATATAAAAGTATATTTGATGTATTTGCGTGTGTGTGTGTATATGTGTATGAGAAAGAGAGAGAAAGGGAGAGGGGGAGAGAGAAAGGGAGAGAGAGAGAGAGAGAGAGAGAGAGAGAGAGAGAGAGAGAGAGAGAGATTTCTTGTATTTTTTATCTGGAACTGTATTTACAGAGTGCTCAGAAGATCATTCATCAAGGAATTCTTCCTTTCTTGGGGACAGATATTTAGCCGAACTTTTGTCCTTGACAGCTATGCAACACAAGTAAATACTTTTTTTTTTTATGTCTCTCCTGCTTTCTCAGTTGCAAAATAACAATGTTCTTTCCATTACAGTGAGATCTTGTTGACAATACAGATATGATGTTTGTATGCATGTATCTCACATTCCAGAGATGATGTCCTGACCTGGAATCACAAATACACATAGGAACTACTCTTTGAAGTTCTCAGAAGGCATTTGATCTTGAGGATGCACCATCCATTTCACTCACTCCCACCACATTTAGACTAAATTACTCATATAAGAGCAGTGGTAGATTCCCTGGAGAATCTGCCAAACTTCACAACAATCTCAACTTTCCTCCTTTCCATGGACCCCCCCCTCCCAGCACCACCCCACCCCATTTCTGGCCCATCTCCTTTCCTTTTTCTCAACTGTGAAAAGCTACAAACACTGTCTAACTGGTAACTCAGAGGACATATAGACTTGGAATGTAGGTAGGTCATCTTCACTGTCCTTCTTGTCCTCCATTACAGTTCCCTGGTACCATCTCCTCTAATAGACAGCTTGCAGGGGCCTCTCCTCTCATTCTTCCTCCAATCAGTGGGGATTCATCACAACACCCAGTGCTAAGTGGAATGTCCCCATCAAACCTCTCCCTCAGGGTTCAGAGAATTTTGCAAAGAGGAAGCAGAAAGATTATACAAGTCAGTAGAGATGGAGACACTAAGGAAATAATGCCATCCACACAGTTGTCACTGGTATTTCTAATTTTAACCATTCTGGCAAGAGTAGGATCTTATCTCAAAGTTGTTTTGCATTTCCCTGATAGCTAAGGATGTTGAGCACTTTCTTAAATGTCTTTCAGCCTTTTTGATTTCCTCTATTGTGAGTTCTCTATTCAGTAGTGTACTCCATTTTTAATAGGGTTATTTGGTGTTTTTTTTTTTTTTTTGACTAGTTTCTTGAGTTCTTTGAATATTTTGGAGATCAGCCCTCTGTTTGATGTAGGACTGGTGAAGATCTTTTCCCAGTCTGCGGGCTGCCCTTTGGTCTTGTCAACTGTGTCCTTTGCTTTACAGAAGCTTCTTAGTTTGAGGAGGTTCCATTTATTAACTGTTGATCACAGTGTCTTTACTACTGGAGTTATGTTTAGTAAGCAGTCTCCTGTTCAAGGGTACCTTCTACTTTTACTTCTAAGAGGCTCAGTGTGGCTGGATTAATGGAGTTTCTGATCCATTTTAACTTGAGTTTTTTGCATGGTGATAGACATGGGTCTATCTGCAGTCTTCTACACACTAATATCCAGTTGTGTCAGCACCATTTGTTGAAGATGCTTTCCTCCTTCCATTGTACACTTTTGGCTGTTTTGTCAAAAATCAGATGTTCCTAGGTGTTTGGGTTAACATTAGGATTTTTGATATGATTCAGGTGTTTTTGTGCCAATACCAAGCTGTTTTCAGAACTATAGCTCTGTAGTAGAGCTTAAGTTGGGATGGTAATGCCTCCTGATGTTCCTGTATTGTGCAGGGTTGTTTTGTCTATCCTGAGTCTTTTGTTTTTCCATATAAAGTTGAGTATAATCCTTCCAAGGTCAGTGAAGAATTGTGCTGAGATTTTGATGGGGATTGCATTGAATCTGTAGATTGCTTTTGGCAAGATTGCCATTTTCCCCTATGTTTATCCTACCTATCCAAGAGCATGGGAGATCTTTCCATTTTGTGATATCTTGTTTAATTTCTTTCTTTAAAGACACAAATTCTTCCTATATAGATCTTTTATGCTTTGGTAAGCATTACCCCAAGATACTTTGTATTGTTTGTGGCTATTTTAAAAGGTGATGTTTCTCTGATTGCTTTCTCAGCACCTTGTGGTCTGAATAAAGTAGGGCTACTGATTTTTTTGAGTGTATCTTGTATCCTGCTACTTTGCTGAAGGTGTTTATCAGCTGTAATAGTTCCCTGGTAGAGTTTTTATGTGTCGTATATGTAAACTATCATATCATCTGCAAATAAAGAAAATTTGACTTCTTCCTTTTCAATTTGTATCCCCTTGATCTCCTTTTGTTATCTTACTGCTTTAGCTAGTACTTCAAGTACAATATTGAAGAGATATGGAGGGAGAGTGCAGCCTTTTCTTGTTTCTGATTTTAGAGTAATTGCCTTAAGCTTCTCTCCATTCAGTTTGATGTTGGCAGTTGGTTTACTGTATATTGCTCTTATTATGTTTAGGTATGTTCCTGTTATCCCGATCTCTCCAAGTCCTTTATCATGAAAGGGTGTTGAATTTGGTCAAAGGCTTTTTCAGCATCTAGGGAGATGATCATGTGGTTTTTCTTTTTCAGTTTGTTTATATGGTGGATCACATTGATAGATTTTCATATGTAAAACCATTCCTGCAATCCAGGGATGAAGCCCACATGGTCATGTTGGATGATTTCTCTGATGTATTATTGGATTCGGATTGCCAGTATTTTATTGAGTATTTTTCCATCAATGTTCATGAGGGATGTTGGTCTGTAGTTTTCTTTCTTAGTTGTGTCTTTGTGAGGTTTGGGACCAAGGGGATTTTAGCCTCATAAAGAGTTTTGTAATGAACCTTCTGTTTCTATTGTGTGGAACAATTTGAGGAGTATTGGTATTATCTCTTGCTTGAATTTCTGGTAGAATTCTGCACTGAAGCCATCTGGCCGAGGGCTTTTTTTTTGGTTGGAAGGTTTTTGATGACTGTCTCTATTTCATTGGGGGTTATAACTCTATTTCAGTTGTTTGTCTATTCTTGGTTTAATTTTGGTAAGTGGTAGTTATCCAGAAATTTGTCCATTTCCTTTGAATTTCCAAATTTTGTGGAGTTCAGGTTTTCAAAGTATGACCTGAAAATTATCTGGATTTACTCTGTGTCCATTGTTATATGCCCTTTTCGGTTCTGATTTTGTTAATTTGCATGTTCTCGCTCTGCTTTTTTGTTAGTTTGGATAAAGGTTCGTCTATCTGGTTGATTTTCTTGAAAAACCATCTCTTTGTAGAATTTATTTTTTTTTGTATTGTATTCCTGGTTTCTACTTTATTGGTTTCAGCCTTCAAATTTATTATTTCCTGGTGTCTTCTCCTCCAGGGTGAGTTTGCTTCTTTTTGTTCTAAAGCTTTCTCTTGTGCTGTTAATTCTCTAATGTTATTATCCTCAATTTTCTTCATATGGGCACTTAGTGCAATGAAAGTTCCTTGTAACACTGTTTTCAATGTGTCCCATAAGTTCAGGTAGGTTGTGTCTTCATTCTCATTGAATTTTTAGGAAGTCCTTAATTTCTTTCTTTATTTCTTCTTTGACCCAAGTATGGTGCAATTGTGTATTGTTCAGTTTCCATGAGTTTGTAGGGTTTCTGCGATTTGTGTTGTTGTTGAATTCTAACTTTAAAGCATGGTGGTCTGATGAGATACAGGTTACTATTCCAATTTTTTTGTATCTGTTGAAGTGTGTTATGTTGCTTTGTATGTGGTCGATTTTAGAAAAGGTTCCATGTGGAGCAGAGAGGAAGGTATATTCTTTTGTATTTGGATTGAATGTTTTATAGATGTCTGTTAAACCCAATTGAGACATAACTTCTGTTAGTTCTTTTGTTTCTTTGTTAAGTTTCTGACTGGAAGTCCTTTCTAGTGGTGAGAGTGGAGTATTGAAATCCTCCACTGTAAGTGTGTGAGGTTTTTTTGTGAGCTTTGAGTTTTAATGGCATTTCTTTTATGAATGTGGGTGCCTTTGTATTTGGGGCATAGATATTCAGAATTAAGATTTTGTGCTGATAGATTTCTCCTGTGGTGAATACAAATGACTGTCTTCATCTCTTGATTAATTTTGGTTTGAAGTCTAACTTGTTGGATATTAGGATAGCCACACTTGCTTACTTCTTGGGTCTATTTGATTAGTAGATCTTTTCCCAACCCTTTATCCTGAGGTAATGTCTACCTTTGAAGCTTAGATGTGTTTCTTGTATGCAGCAGAAGGATGGATTCTGTCTTCGTATCCATTCTGTTAGCCTGTGTCTTTTTATAGGTGAGTTAAGACCATTAATGTTGAGGGAAAGTAAGGACCATTGATTGTTAATGCTTGTTTATTTTAGATTTGTTGTTGGCGGTGGTATTGTGAATATATTTGTCCTTATTTACTCTTGTGTTGTGGTGGAATGGGATTATCTATTGCCTATGTCTTTGTGAGCATAGTTAACTTCCTTGGGTTGGAGTTTTCCTTCCAGAACTTTCTCTAGGGCTGGATTTGTAGATACATATTGTGAAAAGCTGGCTTTGTCATTAAATATCTTGTTTTCTCTGTCTATAGTGACTGAGATTTTTCCTGGGTATAGTA